TTAGGGTTTAGGGTTTAGGGTTTAGGGTCACCCTAAACCCTAAATCCTAAGGGTACCCCCCTTTTGCTTCATGGGGTCCCCTTTCCTTAAAGGGGAGTAAGATTCCACTAAGGGGTTTCGGGCTTAGGGTTTAGGGCTACTACGAGGAACAAGGGGTTGCCATACATCCGTCCGGGCAAGCATGTACGCCTCGTTATGGAAACTCCAGCCGTGGCACGTACTTCTCGGCTTCCGCAAAGGCCTGTTCAGATGGGGTAAGGCTTGCAGTTGTAAGGTTTAAGGTTCAGTGTTCCGGGTTGAGGGCCGAAAAAGGTAGCCCTACTTAGAATTCAATGAGTCCGCACCCTAAACCGCGCAAATGAAGACATCAACACAAAAATCAAGCCATTCATGATTGCTATGATGATGACCAAACGCCAGAATAACATCTGAGCTTTTCGAATAAGCAGACCCTAAACCCTAAACCCTAAACCCTGAACCCTAAATCCTCAACAGACAAGAATCGAACAAAAAAACCTGAGGCTCTGAGTGCCATCTCAACAAAACACTGAACTCCGAACCCAATGTGCAAAACCCTGTATCAATCCCGGAACCTACACCCTAAACTCTGAAACCCATAAACCCTGAACTCTAACCCTAACCCCTAAACCCTAAACCCTAAACCCTAAACCCTAAGCCCTAAACCCTAAACCCTAAACCCTAAACCCTAAACCCTTTCTGAAACCCTAACCCCCCCCCCCCCCCCCCCCCCGGAGCGTCGAAGCTCAGCGCGCCTCCACGCACTGCTTGTAGTTGGCGCCGATGGCGACGGAAGCAACCTTGCAAGGCTTGGGGGTTTGGGGTTTGGGGTTTGGGGTTTGGGGTTTGGGGTTTGGGGTTTGGGGTTTGGGGTTTGGGCTTTGGGCTTTGGGCTTTGGGCTTTGGGCTTTGGGGTTTAGGCTTTGGGCTTTAGGCTTTAGGCTTTAGGTTTTCGTTTTAGGGTTTAGGGTTTAGGGTTTGGGGTTTAGGGTTTAGGGTTTAGGGTTTAGGGTTTAGGGTTTAGGGTGGCCCTTAAAATTCCTCAGAGAAAACATTCCTCTAAAAATGATCCTCGTAAACCCACTACCAGTAGTTTAAGGGAAGACATGAACTCAAACTTCCCAAGAGCCCAGCTGGGGTACTGGCACCCAAGGCTCCTCCCCCACCCCCTATAAAACCTACGGTTTCGGGTTTAGGGTTTAGGGTTTAGGGTTTAGGGTTTAGGGGTTTAGGGGTTTAGGGTTTAGGGTTTAGGGTTTAGGGTTTTAGGGTTTAGGGTTTAGGGCCATGTGCTTATGCACTAATATACTTGGGCCTTAATGGGGTTCTTCGGGCTCAATGCCGAGGGTATTCGCCCGAAAATCGAAGGCACGCGCTAACCCTCAGCACCCGGGGCTCCTCCCCCACCCGTTTAGGGTTCAGGGTTCAGGGTTCAGGGTTTAGGGTTTAGGGTTTAGGGCTCCACATTTCCCGAAGCATCCATGTACCCATGTACTGTATACTCGGGCCTCTAAAGGGGTTCCTGTATAGTAGCTTTCGGGCTCAAGTATATACTATAAAGGTACATGGATCCCTAGGGTTTTTCAACCCCTCTATGAGGGGCATAGATGTGCAACCACAAAGGCGCAAAAACACGAACCCCTTGAACCCTAAATAAACCCCCAACAAGCCCGCCCCCCCCCCCCCCCCCCAAAAAAAAAAAAAAAAAAAAATATGTATATATATATATATATATATAATAATAACAATAATAATAATAAATAAACAAATAAATAAACAAAAATATCAAACCCGAGGGGCGTAGACATGCTGGTAAGCCATGGCCATGGCGCCCAGGTCTTTCTTTCGCTGGTCCCGGCCGGCCTCCGACAGGTTCAGGTAGGGTTTAGGGTTCAGGGTTTGGGGTTTGGGGTTTAGGGTTTAGGGTTTAGGGTTTAGGGTTTAGGGTTTAGGGTTTAGGACATAGGGCTTAGGGCTTGGGGCTTAGGGCTTAGGGTTCAGGGCTGGAAAGGTTCTTGAAAAAAGGAGCTGAGCCATGAACACTTTTCAAATTTGTTGTCCCCCCCCGCCCCACTCCCACCCCAAACCCCAAACTCCTAGGACCCAAACCGCAACCCTGAAGATCCCACCCTCCTAAACTCTGATCCCACCCTCCTGAACCCTAAACCCTAAACCCTAAACCCTAAACCCTAAACAGCGCCTGTGCGAACTTGGCCACAGCACCCATGGGCGTGGACTTCGAGGACTGGCCACCCGTGTTGGAGTAGACCTCTTCGTCGGGTTTAGGGTTTAGGGTTTAGTTTAGGGTTTTAGGGTTTTAGGGTTTTAGGGTTTTAGGGTTTAGGGTTTAGGGTTTAGGGTTTAGGGTTTAGGGTTTTAGGTTTTAGGGTTTAGGGTTTAGGGTTTGGGGTGTAGGGTTCCTGAAAAAGGGTTCGGGCTCACGCTTAGGCGCTTGGGGGCTTTAATGTTTTGCGGGGCTTTTTCAGGGTTTTTAACCATTGGGGCTTCTGGGTTTGGGGGTTTAAGTTTCATTCTGGCCCCCCCCTCCTAAGACCCTAAATCCTAAACTGCCCTAGATCTTTAGGGCTTTCAAATGTCATCAGCAAAATCTAGACCCAAGAGTAACCTAGGAATAAATAGGGCGTCTTTATCCAGACCCAAGAGTAAACTAGCAATAAATAGGGGGGCCCTTTTTGGTTTATAAGCCCTACAAAAAGGGGGCAATAAGGGCCTACTCTCAGTCCCAGTAAATGACCTAAGGACCTCTAAACCCTAAACCCTAAACCCTAAACCCTAAACCCTAAACCCTAAACCCTAAACCCTAAACCCTAAACCCTAAACCGCGCAGGGCGGATTCGCTTGGGGGGTCAGCCTCACCTTCCCCATTTCCTTCGGCATCGAAAGGGCCTCAGCTCCCAAATCTGAATCGATTGCCTCTGCAACGCTTTTAGGGTTTAGGGTTTAGGGTTTGGGGTTTAATTAGGGTTTAGGGTTTAGGGTTTAGGGTTTGGGGTTTGGGGTTTGGGGTTTGGGGTTGGGGTGGGGTTTAACGCCTCTGGGTCCTCAACCCGGCGCAGCACCTCTGCCATGAAGGCGCCTGCAGAGAAGCGTACCCAGCAGGTCGCAGCCAACCACGTGGCGCGGCGAAGAGGAGAGTTTCACAGCTTCTGGAAAGCCCCCGGTGCGGCGTAGGACGTAGGGGGTTGAGGGTTTAGGGTTTGGGGCTTAGGGTTCAGGGCTTCGGGATTCGGGTTGAGGGTTTAGGGTGTAGGGTTGAGGGTTTAGGGCCCAAGGCCAGCCAACCATGTGCTATTCTTATGCCGCTAAGCCTAAAGATAGGGTTTAGGTTTTAGGGTTTCGGGCTTAGGGCTTCAAACCCTGAGCCTTCACATCACATCCCATTCCCCGGCTCTACATTAGCCTAAGAAGGCCATCGCGCCCTAAACCCTAAACCCGAAACCCGAAATCCTAAACCCCAAACCCCAGACCCTAAACCCTAAACCCTAAACCCTAAACCCTAAACCCTAAACCCTAAACCCTAAACCCTAAACCCCCACCCGTCCCATGGCACGGGCCTCGGTGTCCAGCACCACGATCTTCACCTGGGCCCAGGCCCAAAGTCTCCACTAAAACCCTGAAGCCCTGAAGCCCTAAAGCCCTAAACCCCAAACCCCAAAGCCCAAACCCCAAACCCCAAACCCCAAACCCTAAACCCTATACCCTAAACCCTAAACCCTAGACCCTAAACCCCAAACCCTAAACCCTAGCCCTAAACCCTAAACCCTATACCCTAAACCTTAAACCCTAAACCCTCAACCCCCGGAACCCTAAACCACGATCAAGAATGACCCCTCTCTGTGTTGAGGTCGAAAAGAGCTGGTGGGAGTGTTTACGCAACCGGTGCACCCATCCCAAACCTCACTAAAACCGAAACCCCAACCCAAAACCCCAAACCCTAAATTCTAAACACAATGATTTCTAACCCTAACCCGCAGCCCCCAAACCACCAATCCCTAGACCCTCAAGCCCCCTGTAACTTGAAAGTTAAGAACATCCAAAAAAGCAAACTCCTCGAAACTTTCCTCGGGCCTGAAACCTTGATTTCAATATACCCCTAAACCCCTGGACCCCTAGCTCCAAACCCCCTAAACCCCTAACTCCACACCTCCAAAGTCTATAAAACTCTAAAGCCCAAAATCCAACCTTTCGAGCCAGAAAGCCTTTAAATCCTAAAGCCTCAGCCCCACAACCGTACACACCTGGGTCCCAAACCCTAAACCCCCAAAGCCCTCCACAAACCCCAAACTCTACACCCCTCCCCGCAAGACTCTAAATCCCTAGCACCCAAACCCCAAAACCCCAAAGCCCCCAAAGCCCCCAAAGCCCCCAAAGCCCCCAAAGCCCCCAAAGCCCTAAAAGCCCTAAAGCCCTAAAGCCCTAAAGCCCTAAAGCCCTAAAGCCCTAAAGCCCTAAAGCCCTAAAGCCCTAAAGCCCTAAAGCCCTAAAGCCCTAAAGCCCTAAAGCCCTAAAGCCCTAAAGCCCCAGCCCCAACGTAACAGCCCGACACCAATATGAATTTCATGCATCTTCCCAGATAAACATCCTAAACCAGAAGACTCTATATCCTACACTGTACGTGATACCCCAGACTTTACATATGTCGAAGCGCCAAGCTCTGGATCTTGTTGGCAGCGCACCAGCTCCGAAACCGGTGGAAGTCGCTGACAACGGGTTCGCCAAAGAAGTCGTCCCATTGACACAAGAGGATCGCCCGAGATGTGAGGTATGCATCGAGCAAATTGACACCTTTCGCGGGCGAAACCCGGCAACCATTGTTAACGGCGAGACGTATCTTCCGAGGGAGTGCATGCACGTAAAGCCCATAAACCCTGATCCTCACCCTAAACTCCGAACACCCTCAACCCTAAACCATAACCTCTGACACCCTAAACCCTAACCTCAAAACCCTAAGCCCTGAACCTCAACCCTAAACCCTCGAAACCCTAAACAAGCCCTAAACAAGCCCTAAAAAGCCCTTAACACCCAGGCTGGTCAGAATCTAAACGCCCTCAAGGATGCTTATCACCCTAAACCCTAGACCCTAACCTCTAACACCCTAAGCCCTACCCTCAAAACCCTAAGCCCTGAACCTCACCCCTGATCCCCCTAAAAGCCCTAAAAAGCCCTCAAAAGCCCTCGAGGATGGTCCAAATCTCTCCCGACAAGTGGCGTTGTTTCCGCTGGCGATGGCGTGGTCGATGCCGCCGTAGCCGATGTCCTGGGAGGACTAGGGAAAACGAGCTACATTCCCAAGAGACACCTAGGAATGACAAGGGCATCCTTTTTGGTCTTACAAAACCTTATAAGGGAACCTAAGCCCGAAAGAAGGGACTAAGGGCCTACTCTTTAGGGGTTTAGGGTTGAGGTCTTTAGTGTTCAGGGGTTTCGGGTTTAGGGGCTCAGGGGTGTTGGTTTGGATCCGAATAACCGAGCAGACCTAGGATCTTGCGAAGGGTGATCACGCACTCTTCCGAAGCCTGAGACCGGGTTTTGGCGTGGTCATTTCCATGTTCCTAGCTTGCTGGAGTACCTTGAGCCCGAAGCCCGAAACCCTGCTTAAACCCTGGTAAGCCTTAAGCCTTACATATCGGTTTCCCTCAGCCTTCTCATGTTCTTAGGCCACTGGGGTACCTTGTGTAGCTAAGACCCCCCCCCCCCCCCCCCCACCCCCCCCCCCCCCCCCCAAACCCCAAACCCCAAACCCTAAACCCTAAACCCTAAACAAGCTGAGTTTTGGACGTTGGCCCAGCCGTCACCACCGAACATCCACATCGAGGGCTTGGTGAACCTGAGGTTGGGCGCAGGCCGGGGAGGGTTTAGGGTTTAGGGTTTAGGGTTTAGGGTTTAGGGTTTAGGGTTTAGGGTTTAGGGTTTGGGGTTTGGGGTTTGGGGTTTGGGGTTTGGGGTTTGGGGTTTGGGGTTTGGGGTTTGGGGTTTGGGGTTTAGGGTTTAGGGTTTAGGAGGCATCCTTCAGTAGATAGAATTTTTGAAAATCCAAAAAAACCCTTTCCAAAACGATAGATTCGATAGAATATCAAAACCCCCAAAACGTTGGATAGAATGTTGGCCTGAAATAGGGTTAGGGTTTGGAGTTTCGGGGTTTAGTTGGGGTCCAAGATTTAGGGCTTAGGTTGTTGTTTTGGGGGGTCGCTCTTGAGGCCTGGGGTGCTTATGGTTTCGGGTGAGGCCTTAGGGTGTAGGGCTTCGGATTTAAGATTCAGAGTTTGGGGTTTAGGGTTTAGTGTTTAGATGGGGTTTAGGGTTTAGAGCTTAGGGCTTGGGGATTTAGGGTACAGGGTTTAGGGTGTGGCGTGCCAAGATGCCTCAAAAGCCTTCCCCTAAGGCCCTAAGGGCTCTTATTTTCGGTCGTTCGGGGCGAAAGGCCATCTTATCCAAGGCTTTCGGGCTATTTTGAGCCTAACTGAGCACTACTGCAGCAACTGTCGGCCAGAGCGAGTTTAAACCCTAAACCCTAAACCCTAAACCCTAAACCCTAAACCCTAAACCCTAAACCCTAAACCCTAAACCCTTAGATTAGTGTTTGGGTTATGGACATGAAGGGTTGGCTCTACAGGGGCAGCCCCTAGACCCGATTCTTGAAGCTGCGGTTTTTGGGTTTGGGGTTTGGGGTTTGGGGTTTGGGGTTTGGGGTTTGGGGTTTGGGGTTTGGGGTTTGGGGTTTGGGGTTTAGGGTTTAGGGTTTAGGGTCTAGGGTTTACAGTAGGGTCCAGGTTTCCGAAACGTAGGGGCTCCGGTGGGCTTCAAAACGCGCATCGGTCAGTACACATTGCCCGGTAGCCCAGCAAGCGTATTACAATAAGGGCAATTACCCTTTGTTTTGGGTTGGCTACTTGATAAGGGAATTTTGAACAAAAAGAGGGGAACATGGTACTACCGGGCTACTTGTGCCAAGAGTACTGTAGTCATCCAAGGATTAAGTTCTTAGGGTCTTTCGGGTTTTGGGTTTCGGGATGCCTCTTAATTCATTCTAGGTCATTCCTTGTTTTGTTCGGGTAGGTTCCTTGAATTAAAGGGCGGGGGGGCGGGGGGGTGTTGAGCTCTCTTAATCCCTAGGCCCTTGAGCTCACCCAAACCCCAAACCCAAACCCTAAACCCTAAGACGCTAAGACCCTAGACCCTAAACCCTAAACCCTAAACCCTCAACTCAAAACCCTAAACTCTAAACCCCAAAACCCTCCCGAGCTCGCTGGGTTCCAAGCATGTCCTTCAAGCGGATGAGCTCGGCAATCTCCTTGCGTCTCAACCCAGAAAGCACTCTCTTTACTAATTCAAAAATATGGAGGGGTTTAGGGTTTAGGGTTTCGGGTATAGGGTTTGGTTTTCGAAGGTGCGGGTACCTTCTTTGAGGCTTCCGGAAATAACGGATTAACCTATTTGGGGCATGATCGGCGGTACCCCGATTTTTGAAATGCCCACAGAGCTATTTTTGAGCCTGACGAGTATAAAATAAACCCTATAAATCCTACAAACCATATGAACCCTATAACCCTACAAACCCTATGAACCCTATAACCCTATAAACCCTATGAACCCTACAAACCCTATGAACCCTATAACCCTATAAACCCTAAATCCTAAACCCTAAACCCTATAACCCTATAAACCCTAAATCCTAAATTCTCGGTCCTTGGCCTTGCCTTGCTCGACCTCCAGCAATGGAAGGATCTCGTCGCTGAGGCGCTCCGAGATGACGCTGTCCTGTGTCTTAGGGTTTAGGGTTTAGGGTTTAGGGTTTAGGGTTTAGGGTTTAGGGTTTAGGGTTTAGGGTTAGGGGTTTAAGGGTTTAGGGCTTGGGGTTTAGGGTTTTTTGGGACTTAGTAGGCTTTCCTGCAAAGAATAGAGTGTCCATACCCACTCGCCCTAAGGGTACATGAGCCCTGAACCCTGGCTCGGGGAATGGAATTTCGGGTCGAGGGAGAAGAGGGCATGGTAGGGCGTGTTTGCGCCATTTAGGGTTTAGGGTTTAGGGTTTAGGGTTTAGGGTTTAGGGTTTAGGGCATACACAGGGACGAACGGGCCCACTTGCACTCCCACTTCCCGTTCTACAAAGGGTGATGCCCCTCGCAAACGGGAGTTTTGGACGTGGTTTGCGGTTGGGGGTGTCGGGGAAAGAGAGGTTTAGGGCTTAGGGTTTAGGGTTTAGGGTTTCGGGTTTAGGGTTTAGGGTCAGGAAAGCCTGCCTTGTTGGCATCCTAAGCTCTAAGCCGCAGCAGGTCGCCTGAACAGAATGCCTGGAGCATCTTCCTGAAGCGGAGTTACATTGCGATTCTGGCTTTGGAAGACCTAAAGCCCTAAACCGCCCTAAACCCTAAACCCTAACCCCTAAACCCTAAACCGCCCCAAACCCTCAAAGCCAAAACATCCACAAATGGAGAGACACTTGTCCCCATCGGCCTCTCCAAACTCCAGCCACTGCTCCAGCAGGCTCCTTCACATGGCAGCAGAAGCAGGTCCCAGGATTCCTTTTTTGTTGGGGGTTTAGGGTTTAGGGTTTAGGGTTTAGGATTTAGGGTTTAGGGTTTAGGATTTAGGGTTTAGGTTTTTGTTTTTTTTTTTTGGGGGGGGGTCTCCCTAAACCAAACCCCAGTCCGCAGGTTTTTGTCTTTTTGAAGACAAAGTCACATACACATAACTATAAGCCGGAAACCTGAAAGCACTTGTGTTCCAAGTCTTGGCTCACGAAGGTGTTGCAGCTTGGGTTTAGGGTTTAGCGTTGACGCTTAGCGTCTAGGGTTGAGGCCAAAAAAACGGACCCTTATTCACAAAGGAGCCGGGGTTCGAATTACTCCTCTGGGTTCGTAGTAGGGAAAGAGGGCATTAGGCACCTTATATCACACACACACACACATAAACATTAATTCAAATATAAATACAAAATATAAATATAAATATAAATATAAATATAAATATATATGTGTATATATATACACACCCTTTGAGGACTATAATCTAGCAACACAAAAGTAAAGAGAAGTGAGGGCGACCCCTTACCTTCTTTCACGTTTTCAGGATACCTTTATTCTACCTTTGCTTGCCTTCTTGCTCATGTTCTTGAGGACAAAGAATACCACATCCCGTTTCGCAAGACCAGATAGCGTACCTAATTCCCTCATTTGGTACTTCGAACCAAAAGAAGTACCAGTCAGCAAGTTTATCACAGGCGCTCGGATACTCGTAGCCTCACATGGGACTGCAAGAAGAAAAGCCCTGCCCTTAGGCTGAAAACAGCATAAAACAGCCCAAAAGCCTGGTGTAAGAAGGCCTTGGGCCCAAAACCCTAAAAACAGAGTCCTCAAAGCCTTGGGGGGTTAGAAGACCCAAGCACAGCCCGTCTGCGCCTCAGCGCAACGCTGAGGGACTTTCCCGCACGTGCCAGTGCCGCCTGAAGAGAGGCCCCGAACCCTAAACCCTAAACCCTAAACCCTATAAACCCTAAACCCTATAAACCCTAAACCCTATAAACCCTATAAACCCTATAAACCCTATAAACCCTATAAACCCTATAAACCCTAAACCCTAAACCCTAAACCCTAAACCCTAAACCCTAAACCCTAAACCCTAAACCCTAAACCCTAAACCCTAAACCCTAAACCCTAAACCCTAACCCTAAACCTCAAACGTAAGGATGTCCAGTGGCGGGAGCTAGGGTGAAGGGTTTAGGGCTAGTGTAGGGGATTTAGGTTTTAGTGTCAAGGTTCTATGTTGCGCGCAGGGCGCCCTTAGCACAGCTTCTCCCCCGTAGTCAAACCTTAACCCCGAAACCCTTAACCCTAAACCTTGACCTCCAAAACACGAAAAGTCTGCAAACACTAGCGCCCTACGCAGCTGTCAGTTCTAAACAAGATGAACCCTCAACCCGAAAAGCCTTAAATATGCACAAACCCCAATTCCCAACACTCTGAACGACTCCACCATAAAACCTACAAACCCAACACCCTACGAGCACTACCTCAAACAAAAACCTAAACCCTAAACCCTAAACCCTCCAAACCCTCCAAACCCTCCAAACCCTCCAAAACCCCAAACCCCAAACCCCAAACCCTAAACCCTAAACCCTAAACCCTAAACCCTAAACCCTAAACATTACAAGCCCTGCACCTCCACTCTGTCCCGCAACTGGCGTCGTCGCTGACGGACGTGGATGACCTGAAGCAAGAATGTGGCGTCTCGCATTTAGGGCTTGGCTTGGCATGGCTTAGGGTTTAGGGTTTAGGGTTTAGGGTTTAGGGTTTAGGGTTTAGGGTTTAGGGTTTAGGGTTTAGGGTTTAGGGTTTAGGGTTTAGGGTTTAGGGTTTAGGGTTTAGGGTTTAGGGTTTAGGGTTTGTATATTATGGGGTTGTGTGGGTTGAGGTTTCGAGGTTTTGAGCGGGATTGGGTTCTACAAATATTGTGTACTTGCAAAGCCTGAAATTTACATAGGGCTTTTTGTCACGTGCAAACAACAACACGTGGGTTGATCCGGAATATGGGGGCTTGGCACATCTCTACCATCATGTCCTTACTGTTTCGGGTTCACCGTAAACGAACCAACTCTATCGAAGCCTGCAAAGTGACAGCGCTACGCCTACAGCCCCACCCTGTGACGCGCTTACTGCAGGTTTAGGGTTTAGGGTTTAGGGTTTAGGGTTTAGGGTTTAGGATGTAGGGTTTAGGGTGTAGGGTTCCCTGAGCCCAAAAACCGACAAGCATATTCACCAACATGCTCGACCCCTCTAGGCGCCACTGAGTAGGCACTGGAGCTCGCGACGCCCGCGAACTCTTTGGGTTTAGGGTTTAGGTTTAGGGTTTAGGGTTTAGGGTTTGGGGTTTAGGGGTTAGGGGTTAGGGTTTAGGGTTTAGGGTTTAGGGCACCCGGATGCCTCCAAAGTGCATGAAAACTCTTCAAGCACTCAAGCACTACCTGGGACCCTCCTTACCTGCAGTGTTATGCGTTATGCAGTATATATCCCTACAAACAAAGGGTTTAGGGTTTAGGGTTTAGGGTTTAGGGTTCAGGGTTTAAGGTTTAGGGTTTAGGGTTCCTAAACTGTAGGTACATAGGTTTTATGGGTTATGCAGTATATATCCCTACGAATTCAGGGCAGTTACTCGTAAACTGTAGGTAAATAGAGCCCCCAGGTAAACCTACATCCCTGGACCCTTACAACCCTCTGCCCAGTATAAACCCTACACCCTAAAACCCTGACGAAGAGGAATTTTTAACCCTAAATCACACTGACCCTAAGCCCTAATTATACCCTTAACGATAAGGCAGCCACAAAGGGGGCGATTGGATCGCGACACCCCGAAAAAACTGAACCCGATCAAATTCTAAACCCTCACACCCTGGGAGCACATAGGGTGCGCACATAGGGTATATGAGGAAGGTAGGGCATATAAAGGTATATAAGGGCCTGTAGGGTAATATGGGGTATATAGGATGTATATGGCATATAGGGTAAGCAGAGCTGCAGATATAGAGGATATAGGTACACGAAACCCCAAACCCTAAACCCCCAAACCCCAAACCCCAAACCCCAAACCCCTAAACCCCTAAACCCCTAAACCCCTAAACCCCTAAACCCCTAAACCCCTAAACCCCTAAACCCCTAAACCCCTAAACCCCTAAACCCCCCCTAAACCCTAAACCCCAAACCCTAAACCCCTAAACCCTAAACCCCTAAACCCGTAAACCCCTAACTCCTAACTCCTAAACCCCAAACCCTAAACCCCTAAACCCCTAAACCCCTAAACCCCTAAACCCTAAACCCTAAACCCTAAATCCTAAACCCTAAACATATGGGGCACTTGGGGGAGCGGGTGGCAGGCTCACCTGTCCGAGGCCATACTCTGCGTTGTCCTCGAAGAGGGAGTTTCCCCAGGCCGTTCCTTTGCCTGACTCCTGCGACTCAAGGCTATGTAGGGTTTAGGGTTTAGGGCTTAGGGCTTAGGGTTTAGGGTTTAGGGTTTAGGGTTTGGGGTTTAGGGTTTAGGGTTCAGGGTTTGGTGTTTCGGGCTCAGGGACGTAGGGTTCAGAATCCCAGATCCAACAACGTCGAGCCGCATGTCGATCCCACATCCGAAATCGTCGCAGACCCAAAGCAGTCCAAAAAATGTAAGCTTCGTGAGGCTTACAAGGTATATAAGGTTGCATAGTGTAAAGTTGTAGGCTATATAGGGGTATATAGGGTCTGCAGGACTACTTTTCTCCCATGTTGCTTTGCCGATGGATCTTGACCTTATGTGCTTTGCCGTTCACCTTATCCTTTGACTTGTTGACCGAAATTTCGTTGTCCCTTGACTTATTCGCCGTAAGGCCAGTAGGATTTTGATGTGAACAAACCCTAAACCCTAAACCGTACACCCTAAACCCGAAGCCCGAAACCCTGCCCGAAACCCTAAACCCTAAACCCTGAACCCTGAACCCTAAACCCTAAACCCTAAACCCTAAACCCTAAACCCCCTAAACCCCCTAAACCCTAAACCCTAAACCTTCTACACAAGCACCAACATATACATCTGCATGAAAAGGGGTTTTCGGGCATGGAAACTTGAGAGCTGAAAGGCTCAGGGGAGTAGTGCTACAGGGTACAGGGTAAGCGCTTTAGGGATAGGGTTTTAGGGTTCAGGATTTGGGGTTCACAGGGCTGTTAGGGTTCATAACACACTTAGGGTTCTTAGGGTTTTGGGGTGCAGAAGGCTTTTCGGGTTTACAGGGCTTTTGGGGTTCAGAACGCTGTCAGGGTGTACAGGGCTGTTAGGGTTCAGAACGCTTTTGGGGCTTTTAGGGCTGTTGGGGCGTATGGGGTTTGTAGGGGGCTACAGGGCTTGTAGGGCTTTTTGGGCATTTTTGGGTTGAGGATTCGAGGCTTCAGGCGTTTTTGGGCACAAGGGGCTTTGACAGACTCCACGGCTCTCAGGCGTAGGGTTCAGGGCTTAGGGTTTCGGATATAGGGCTTAAGCCTGAAAAGCCTCATAAGGGCGCTGACCTGAACGAAAATACGCTCGACATCCTGAACAATACTTACCCACAGAAACAGGGACACAAGCCAACTGAAAGGTGAAGTCACAACTCCAAGCCCCTTTTTGAGCTGCAAAAGTCTAGGGCCTACAGGGTTTAGGAGTTGCGGCTCAACACATCAGAGTCCACCAGCCTTGTCTGTGGCGTAGGGGACCTTTCGCAGGGTTCTGTGGTTTGGGAATTTGGGTGTTTTTTAGGGGGTGAGTGAGGGCTGGGGAGGGCGGAAAACCCCAAGCCTACACCCAACATGACCTCAACCCACGAGTTTGTTCTGAGCGGACAGCTCCGAAGAAGCGCCAGGGAATCGGCGTGTCTGCTGTAAACCCTAAACCCTAAACCCTAAACCCTAAACCCTAAACCCTAAACCCTAAACCCTAAACCCTAAACCCTAAACCCTAAACCCTAAACCCTAAACCCTAAACCCTAAACCCTAAACCCTAAACCCACACCACTGTCAACCTTGAAAAAGGAGCTCATGGCCCACCATCGTCAATCATGGCATGAGCTGCTCCTCGACGAACTCAAGACGCGCCTCGACTCGGTGCATGGATGCGCGCACTCTCATGCCAGTAGAGGCATCACGTTGACCACTCTGCAAAATGCAGCGATCTAGCGGGCGACGGACAAACAAGCCTTGAACTCACGTGCGTGATGTACGTGGTACATGCACACATGCCTGCTCTAATTATTAAGGCCCCTATATTACGTTACTCGTGTCGCTCCGCACGCGCGAACATGTCACGTTGCGCTTATGTTCATTCAATATAGTGTTTACATTGTTAGTATCCCTAACAGCCCCACATGTACCCGGTTTAGGGTCATTCAGTCTCACAATTCAATGTCGAGCTTAACCCAACGCCGGTACTGCAACACGCCTGAACTCTTAAAGTCCTGGAACCAAAACTTCTAAACCCCCAAATCCTGAACCTCCAACCGTGAGCCCCTGAACCCTAAACCCTACAAACTCTACACCCTCAGCTCCTGAATGTCGCAATCCAACAACCCCTAAACCTCAACCCAAACTCTGGACCCGAAGCTTAACCTCCAAACCCAAAAACGTCCCCAAGAAATCTAGCCATGCGGGGCTCGTTTTCTGCGAGTCCCCTATCGTTCTGCTGGACGAAGGCTGCTTCCCATGGAAGATGGGTTTAGGGTTTAGGGTTTAGGGTTTGGGGTTTAGGGTTTAGGGTATGATATCGAGTATGCCATTTGACGCTTCTTTCGGGGTTGTCGTGTTCGACGCGTTATCCATTTGCACCATAAACCCTAAACTCAACCCGAAACCCAAAGCAGACTTTAGGGTTTAGGCTTGAGAAGGTTTAGGGTTTAGAGTGTGATGCCCATCGCTTTGGTTTTAGGGTTTAGGTGTTAATTAGGGGAAACGACCCTCCAGAAATAAATATGGAAGGGCTTTCTAGAGGGAACCCTCAACCCTAAGCCAGAACCCCCGGACCCCAAGCCCCGAACTCCAAACCCTAAACAAAAACACATGGACATGGATATTTTCTAAACCGTTTATACCCCAAATTGAATAGAATCCCCTTAAAGGGACCCCAAAAAGGGTACCCTTATTCTACCCTAAACCCTGAACCCTGAACCCTGAACCCTGAACCCTAAACCCTAAACCCTAAACCCTAAACCCTAAACCCTAGACCCTAAACCCTAAACCCTAAACCCTAAACCCTAAACCCTAAACCCTGAACCCCCCGATGGACGTGGGTGTGCGCAAAGGCCCCGGGCCCAGCCGGCAGTTCCTCCCCAGATGCTGCTGCAGCCTGATTCAGGGGTTGAGGGTGTTTAGGGTTTAGGATTTAGGGTTCAGGGGTTTAGAGTTTAGGGTCTTTTTGGTTTAGGGTTTAGGGACTTTTAGGGTTTAGGGACTTTTTGGGTTAGGGGTTGAGGGTTTTTAGGGTTTTGGGGTTTAGGGGTTTAAGGTTTAGGGACTTTTAGGGTTTAGGGTTTAGGGATTTTTAGGGTTAGGGTTTAGGGATTTAGGGTTTAGGGACTTTTGGGGTTTAGGGTTTAGGGGTTGAGTGTTTAGGGGTTTAGGGTCTAGGGACTTTTGGGGTTTAGGGTTTAGGGTTTAGGGACTTTTAGGGTTCAGCCGGGGGGTTCGTATGAAAGCCGCATTGAGGCCACGCCTCTTCCTGCAAACTTCATCTGCGGACGGAGCCCTCGGTCCAACCCTAAACCCTACCAAACCCTAAACCCTAAACCCTAAGCCCTAAACCCTGAACCCTCGCGTCAGTGATGCAGTGCAATGATCTCCTGCTGTGCCGCAGTACAAAGCCGATGATGTTGTTGAAAAATGCAGCCTGAGGCTGCTTGAGGGTTTAGGGTTTAGGGTTCAGGGTTTAGGGTTTAGGGCACCCCGGCGAAGGAATTGGTCCTCGATCAGAAGCAATGAATTGTGGTTGCACGAGGCTGCGCGCCTCAGCGTGACTGACACGACTAATGCTGCACTGGCTCTAATATGGCCACCCGCTCTAGTGGAAAGCTTCCAGGGTTGAGGATTGTTAGGGCTTAGGGTTTAGTGATTTTGGAGGGTTTAGGGTTGAGGATTCTTAGGGTCTAGGGCTTAGGTAATTTTCGGGTTTAGGGCTTTGGGATTTTTAGGGTTTAGAGTTTAGGGGTTCTTGGGGTGTAGGCTCGAGGGATTCTTAGGGTTTAGGGTTCAGATTTTTAGGGCTCAGGGTTTTTAGGATTTAGGGCTTAGGGGTTTTTAGGGTTCAGGGTGGGTTTATGGATTGCTAGGAACATTCCGCTCCCCCTCTCCCAAAAAGGTATACTAAAGGGAATCCCAGCTCTACTCATCCTTAAACCATGTGCCACATTCTTGGAGTAAAGCATGCTCCAACTTTCTGGAGTTCACCGTCGGGTCTTGGATCAGGGGTTGAAGGTTTGGGAGAGACTTGGGTTCGGAGATTTGGGAGAGTTCTAGGGACATGTATTTGCATGGGCTTACCCCAACTCCCAAACCCTAAACCCCTAACCCCAAACCCCTAAACCCTAAACTCTAAACTTTAAACCCTAAACCCTAAACCCTAAACCCTAAACCCTAAACCCTAAACCCCAGCCTCTAGACTCTAGATCCCCAACCTAGACCCCTACAACCCGCACACCCTCCGCGCCTGTGGCATTGGCGACGATGAGGCGCTTGCCGAACCTCCGCGCACTCTGTTGCCATTGCTAGGGTTTAGGGCTTAGGGCTTAGGGCTTAGGGCTTAGGGATGAGGGTTTAGGGAAGTTTAGAGTTTAGTGTTTAGGGGTCGGAGTACTCACTGATTACGCAGGCCTCCACACAAGACGCGAAGCGACCATTAAAAACCGAGCCGCTCGTGATCTTTCGCAGGAAGCGACTGAGCCTCCCGCAAGCAATGTGGTACCACCAAAAGGTTTTCGCGTCGAAAACGACTGGAAGCCCAAGTCGACGTAGAAGACCTCTCCGTTGCACTCCAGATTTGGCGGTCGATCGTTGACGCCCCTCCACAGCATTCGCTTCCCTGCGTCGTTTGGGAGCTTGTACCCCATTTGCTCATCTCTTTGGCGCTTTGAGGGTAGCCTTGAAGCACCTGGAGCAAAGGCGCCAGGTGGCCATGTTTGAAGTCGCCAACTTTGTATCCTCTCAAGTTCGAGTTTATGCACGTGCACCCGACCTTGCCGCAAAACGCGAGAACTGCTTGCTCTTCCACCGACAGCTCTGCTACCGAAAACTTGTTGCAGGGCTGACTCATGCTGCAGACTCTACCTCCAAACAGCAGAATAGTATTCCCTTATGGTCCCCTTATAAATATACCATAATGACCCCCAAAACTCTATTCTAATTGTTAAAGGCCCCGAATATTACGTTCTCGTTGAAGTTGTAGGCTTGAGCCGGAGTCATAGGAGTCTCGGGCCAGGGTTTACTAAACCTCCCCCCCAACAAGGGTTGAGGGTATTAGGTGAAAAACAAGTTTACGGGCCAAGCTAGGTTGAGGGTTGACATGGGTCGACCGAAACCCTAAAAGAAGGGAATCAGGGCCTACTTTGGGTCCTAGCCCTAAACCCCAAACCCTCAACCCTTCTGTAAACCCAATTTTGCGGCCCCAGAGCATCTGCGTCACCAGCTTGGCGTAGGGGGTCTCGCCGCAGCCTGCAAGGAGGCTCTCAGGTTGCTAGGTACTTATGCTTGGAGGCTCATGGTACTTATAACTAATTATGACTGTACTTCTAACTGTACTTACAACCATATTAGGGCAGTTAAGGGGCTTATAAGTGGGTTATAAGTACAGTTGTAAGTGGTTATTAAGTACCATGAACCTCCAAGTGGGCTCGTAAGGGACGGGGGTTCATGGGGAGTAGGTACCTAGGGAACCTCAGAAAAGCTTAGGGAGCCATAGGGAGTAGTAGGGCGTACTAGGGATCCTTGGGTTACATAACCCCTTGAACCCCCCTCCCTTAATACTTACGAGCCCTATAGTTAGTGCGTCATAAAGGGGCCCCCCACCCCACCCCCAATCTCCCCCCCTTGAAGGGATACCACGACAAATTCCTAAACCCTGAAACCCTGAAGCCCCAAAACTCGAAGCCTAAACCCTAAAACCCTAATCCCTAAACCCTAGACCCTGAAACCCTACACCCTAAAACCCGAAATTCCCCTTCCTCGTGGCTCAACGATTGTAAGGATGGAGGAGGCGTCTACGAGCGTTTCGAAATTGGGGCTTCTACCCAAGACGAGGCGCCCTGCTTCGTAGGTTTCGGGTTTAGGATTCCGGGTTTAGGGTTTAGGGTACCTTAAAAATATGCACGGGTTCTCCTACTCCAGACGGCTTCTAACCTCGAGAGCCGCTGCAAAGTAGCACAACGATTTCCAAACCCTAAACCCGAACCCTAAACCCTAAACCCTAAACCCTAAAACCCGAAACCCTAAACCCTAAACCTTCACCCTAAACCCTAAACCATAAACCTGGCCTTCGCAAGCGCCGGAGAACTCGAGCAGAGGCTCCTTCACATGTGCCGGGTTCTTTGGGTGCTTTAAGGCGTGAGGGAGTTGCGGGTGTGTAAGGGTTTAGGGTTTAGGGTTTAGGGTTTAGGGTTTAGGGTTTAGGGTTTAGGGTTTAGGGTTTAGGGTTTAGGGTTTGGGGTGTAGGATGGGTTTGAGGGTTTAGGGTTTGGGGATTCGGGTGTAGGATGGGTTTGAGGGGTGACTGAGTGCGTACTCTGTCAGTCAAGCTAACGGAGGAAGAAGGGGGATGCTCATCGAGCCTGAACCCAAAGGATCTGAGCACCGACCCCGGCGGTCCTCCTTTCGACCGAACACCAGCCCCAAAGCGGAGGAAAAGCGCTGGACTCCGGTGATTCAACCAAAGAAACAAAAACGGAGTAAGGGTGCTGCGGAGCATCCAGGTGGGGCTATCCTCTCACTTTGTTGTTACAACAATACATGTACAATCAAATACAAAGTGGAAATATGAAGCCCTAAACCCAAAACCAACATATCGAGAACTCCCCCCCTGGTCCATGGCGCAACCTGAAAAACTTGCTCAGCCCGCAAGCAATGGCCTCTAAGGATTTAGAGTATCGAATGTAGGGAGTAAAGGTGAAGGATTCAGGGCTTCATGAAGCCTGAAGCCCACCCCGAACCCTAAACCCTAAACCCTAAACCCTAAACCCTAAACCCTAAACCCTAAAGCGCCCACAAAGAAATCGCTTGGAGCCTGGAACTGGGAGCCCTTCAGCGTGTTGGCGTCGAAGCGCTTTCCGCGATTTGGAATAGTCATGGCATAGTCCTTGACATAAAGCTTAGGGCTTAGGGCTTAGGGCTTAGGGCTTAGGGTTTAGGGTTTAGGGTTTAGGGTTTAGGGTTTAGGGGTTAGGATTTCGGGTTTACGGTTTAGGGTTTAGGGTCCAGGGTTTAGGGTTTAAAAATGGTTTCTTAATCTTGGCCCTTACTTGGGGACTCCTTAAGAACAAAACCCTTATGTACCCCAATGTAACTTCCCTTAGATTCTCAGAAGCTTCGGGACAGGTTGCAATTCATGGTCACTTATTTCGGGTACCTGAAATCGAAACCTAGACCTTACCCCTAAACCCTAAAACCCTAAACCCTCAACCCTAAACCCCGAACCCCCTAACGATGCTGCAGCTGTGCGCCCGGCCCAGTTGTCTCCGTGGCCCTGGTCGATGGACTCCAGGCGTGGCAGCATGGACAGGGCCTCGGCTGAATCTTGGGGTTTAGGGTTTAGGGCTAGGGTTTGGGGTTTAGGGTTTAGGGTTTAGGGTTTCGGGTGGAGGGTTTAGGGTGGAGGGTTTAGGGTTCTGGGTTGAAGGTTTAGGGACAATACCTGAGTTGGACTCAGGGTTTGGGGGTTTAGGGTTCAAGGGTCTATTTAGTGTCTCAGGGTTTAGGATTTTAGGATCTACGGTTCCAGGGTTTCGGGCTCCAGGGTTTCGGGGTAGGTTTAGGGCGGGCTTAGGGGTGTAGGGGCCTCGGGTTTTAGGGTTTAGGGTTCAGGGTTTTAGGGTTTTAGGGTTTAGGGTTTCGGGTAGGGCACACGTGCGTCGGGTGTTAGGGGTGTTAGGAAGGGTTTGGGGGTATGGGGAGTGCAGGAGGTTAGGGCCCCAAAGTGCCTCAGCATTGCCCTCTCAAGCCCAGGGTGGCATCTTAGTCGGTTTAGGGTTTAGGGTTTAGGGTTTAGGGTTTAGGGTTTAGGGTTTAGGGTTTAGGGTTTGTTTCTTCTCCCTAGGGGCTCCGAACCACATTTAAGGTTTTGCGTGTACTGCGTGTATTGAGCGGGTGCTACCCTCCCTATACCGTATACACTAAACCCTAAAAACTGTAAACCCTAAACCCCAAGCCCAAGCGTCAGCCCCAAAGCGTACAGAGCCCGAGCAACAGGCTTGAGCGCGTCAGGGTTTCAGGTTTTAATTCCTAGGCCTAGACACTTTTGCATCTCAAACCCCAAACGACCCCACCCTAAACTCTGAACCCTGGACCCGGAACCTGCAACTCGGAATCACACGAAGCCAACAACCCCCTCCCCGGTTGACGACTGTTCTCATTGGCTGCATGTGCCACCTTCGCGCTAGGCCCTGCGCACACGGGCCAAAAGGCAACGATTGGTCTGAAGCCCCTCCTTCACCCCAAAAAACTTGAGATTGAGACGCTAGAGGGGTTGTGATGGGGGGCCCAAGCCCTATAGGGTTTTGTGTTGAGGGATAGGGCTTAGGGTTGGGGTTTAGGTTTAGGGGGTCAGGGGCATTTAGAGTCTAGCCCATCATGAATAAAGTAAAGACGAGGCACTCCGACTGGGCAGGCGTTGGTGCAAACTTCGCAGCCTGTGCCAGTGGAACATCGGAACCATGATGCCTAGCTCCTAAACCCCGAAAACTCCAACCCTAGACCTTCAATCTTTTAATCCTGAGGTTTCAAGGGTTGAGGGCTTCAGGGTTTCGGGGGATAACGGCTTTCCATCTCAAATGCCTGCCCAATGCTCTGGGACCGGGCGACTTATATATATATATATATATATATTTTTTCTTTTTTTGGGGGGGGGGGCAGGTTTTCGGTTACCCTAAACCCTAAATAAATAAACCCTAAATCCTAGACATTCCTAAACCCTAAACTGTACCCTGAATCCTACACCCTAATTGATGGGGGAGGGATGAGCTCAGATTGACGCTTGAGGGGGCAGTGGTTGATAGGGTTTGGGAACACAAGTTGCGGATGCTTCGCTCCTTCAACCCCCCAACCTGGGCGTCGAAGCTCGCAAGCAGAAACGTTGACTTAATCCCTATTCCCCTAGGAAGAAAAAAGGATCCTTTTTGTTTATAGATAAGAAAGCCCATAACCCAAAAAGTAAAAAGGATCCCTAACACTGATTTAGTTGAACTTCCCCGAACTGATCCAAAGAAATGCTACCCTAAGGTTGCCGGGGTGAAGTCAAGCCGATGAGCTTGGAACCTCCTAAACGCCCTAAACGCCCTAAACCACCTAAACCCCCTGAATTCCCTAAAACCGTTGAGGGCTTTAGGTAGGCTTGACTCGTGGAGGTCTTGACTCGTGGAGGGCATGGGGGTCTTTGGGGCTTTGGGGGCTTTGGGGGCTTTGGGGGCTTTGGGGGCTTTGGGGGCTTTGGGGTTTTGGGGTCTGTTTTTTAGCAAGGCCGTGCGCGCTGATGCGTTGCGCGCTTAGGCGCCCTCTCTGGTTTTGGGGTCTTGGGGTTTTGGGGTCTTCGGGGCTTTGGGTCTATATGGGGCTTTACTGTAGGTTTCGTAGGGTCTTTCTCGGAGAAGGGTGCGAAGGTGAGGTGGATGCTCTTTCAGGCAGCCAGGGTTCAGGAGGCCAAACCCTGAAACCTGAAGTCTAGCCCTAAACCCTGAACCGCAAGTTCAAAACCTCACGGCTGAAGAATCCAACGGGTGTTAGCTCCCTATGGGATCGCTTGACGGGTTAGGTACGGAGGACATAGGCTACGTACCTAACGGTCCTGCAGTTTACCGGAAATTCCCGCAATGGACCATCACCAAATAAGCCCTACACCCCTAACCCTGAGCAAGGGAACTGAACAAAACTTGGGTAGGTTTAGGGGGCCCTGTAAAAAAGAAACTTGGAATGGCTGTTTGGTTTATGAAGATTATATATCCCTAACCCTTCCAAAAACATGATGTTCAAGCCTACCCCTGCAAACCCTTGGGTGCCTGTGCAGTCGTTGGGAGAGGCCTGGATTCGGAAGTGAAGTCCGGCGTAGGTGTT